GAATCTCCTCTAACTCTGTCACCGTGTGAGTGTGCTTTGCTAAGTAGATTATTCTTGAGCCCAAGCTCTTGGCAGCTGACATGTATCATCTTTCTTCCTGGATCCTAGAGAGAACAGTAGGTAGACAAAGGCAGTCTCTGGAGAGGGCTCAGGGTGCAGAACATTCTAGGGCACTGTTCCCAAAGAGCAGTCCCTGGCCCCCTGCATCGGAACCACCAGAGAAGCTTATTAAAATGCAGACTCCCAGGCCCACTCCAGACTCAAAGAATCAGAACCTCTGGACCAGCTCTCCATGGGATTCTTATGCCACAGAGGCCTGAGAGCCACTGAGCAGGCACGTCCTCACCTCTCCTTTGCCATTTCCCAGAGCAGGACTCTGAAACAACAATTCTTTATTTACAAAAAAAAAAAAAAAAAGGGAAAAAAAAAGCTATGAAACTAATGGGGGAATCCTCAAGCTACATTTTAGGGGTACGTGATTTGGGAAGCCATGGCAAAGGGAATGTTTCAGTCACTGACCTCAGTAAGTAACTGTTGCACACCTGCTATTTCAGGGCCTGGATAAGGCTATAAACATGCATCAGCATCCTCCTCTCCTACTGACAGCCCTAAGCTTAGCTCCTCTTCTCATAGTCAGGCCAGTCCTCTTACCATTGGCCTTGAGTTGCCATAAAAATAAGCTTTTGAACTACCAACCAGTCCCTTTTTTATATTTTTAAACTCCATTTCCTTAGCTTCTGAGACTCCATTCTCTGCGATTTCCCCTCCTACCTCTCAGGCCACACCTTCTCCACGTCCTTCCTTGGCTCCTCTTCCTCCACCCACTCTGCAGACATCGGCGCCCCCAGGGTGCAGCCTTGGCCTTTGGCTCCTCTCACTCTCCGTCTGTGCCTCTGCCTGCTTCTTCTCTCTGTCCTCCTGCTACCCCCAAGCCTCCATCCTCAGCCCTATCTGCTGCCTGTGGGACATCTCCCTCCATATGTTCCATAGGCTCCTCAATTAACCCCTGATTGTACCCATCATTCCCTGCCCGTTAAGTGGAAACTTCCCCTGGCTTATGGCACCTGTTTGCCCACATCACCATCCTGAGGGCAGGCTCTCTCTGTCCACATTATCCAGCTGGTCACAAATCCAGGCAAGTTCACCTCCTAAATGCACCACCCCCTCTCTATCCCTATTGTCACCATCATCTGGACTTTGGCAAAGTTTCATTTTCTCTCCACAAACAGTCAGGCCTCCATGGAGCCCTCTTCCTCACGCACACTGCAAGAACACACCCCTGCTCCAAAGCCTTCGGGGCACAGTTAAGTGCAGCTGCTGGCACGGGCCGTGAAGACCCCATCCTGGCTCTTCTCACTCACTCAAAACTGGCCCCACTCCTCTGGGCATGAAGAGTGTGACCTTTGCATGTGTGCATACTCAGACTGAAATGCTTCTTTTGTCCCTGAAGTCACTTCTTATTGGGAGATGCCACTCAAGTATGTCATCCTATGTGGAGCCTTCCGTAATTCCCTTCCCAGCAGCAAAACCAATCAGTCCTCCCTCCGATGCCTGACCCCTTGAAAGACCTTTCAGCATTTGGAAACACCTGTTTACATGTTTGTCTTCCCTACTAGTCACAGTGCCTGGCTGTTGGTACGGATGTTTGTCAGGTGACTGTACAAGCATAAGAGGGACCAGCGGAAAGAGAGACGAGAGGGAGAACCCCAGGCAGGAGGCTACTGTAACAGTCCTGGCAAAAGGCAGCGAGGGCTGGGTGAGGAGGATGAGGATGACAATAACAACAGTAACACCCAACACGTGGCCCTTACTACGGCCCTCACTCTTCTAAGAGCTCTTTGTGTTTTGACTCATTTAATCTTCACGGCAACCCCAGGAGGTAGATACTGTTATTGGTATTCCCATTTTATAGATGAAGAAACTAAGGCACAGGAAGTTTAAACAAATGACTGAGAATAAAAAGGTCACTAAATGCAATATATTACCAATTTAAATCACCACAACTAAGTGGCTGCTCCAGCGGGCCCAGTGAAGGAAGAAGCTGTCACAGTTACCTATGCAGGACATCAGGGTTGGCAACACCCCGACCCAGCCAAGGGCAAGGAGAGGAGCAGTGTCTGGGCTTTATTTCGTTTTCTTTTGGGGGACAGGGTGTGTGCTAGGAGAGAAGATGAATTCTACCTGGGGCTGGTTTTCTGAGGTTCTGCAAGACATCCTGCACATGTAAATGGGGGTGGAGGCGTCCTCAGCTCTTCGTGGTCCTGTCTGCCTCACTCTTCCCCAGAACTCTCTGAGGTAACATCACCTCCATTAACAGGCCGGGAAGCTGAGGTCTAGAAAGACTAATTAACTTCAGATTAAGATTCAGAGTCACAAAGTGGCAAAGCCGAGATTTGAACTCAGGTCTGTCCAACTCAAATTTTGCTCTATCCAAAAGTCTAGTAGTTCCCAAATCTGACTAATCATTAGCACCCTATGAGGAATTCTTTAAAATGCATTTTCCTAGGCCATGCCCCAGAACTATTAAATCTGAATCAGACCCACCAAGGTGCTAGGATATGTGTGCTTAAGCTCCCCAGGCAGCTGTAATGACAGGCACGTCTCAGGAGCTGCTGCACTGCTCCCCAGGCCTCTCCAGTACAAGGAATGCTGGCCAGGCCTTTGGAAAGAGCTTAGCACTGGAGATGAAAGTCTTAGGAACTTCAATTTATGGACATAGATGAGCTCCCCAAAGGGACAAAGAGAAAATAAGAGGGCCCAGGATAGAGCTCTGGTCAAAGTTCCTGTAGAGGCAGAAGAGACACTGGAAGCAGCACCGGGTGATTGAGATTTGAAAAGAGGCATCTGACCACATAAGATGCTGCAGAGAATGAGGCACAGGAGGGCCCAGATCCCAACACTCAGATTGGTTATCTCCAATATTCTGATCTACTAGCTGACGCGAGGTTTGATTTTGTTTGTTTGTTTTAGGGGTCTTCTAACACCCCTTGACTACTGCCTCCCCCCAGCATTCAGGCAGTGACACTCACTGCCCCTGGGAGGGGATGACACCTGGAATGCAGAGAACAAGGAGTCAGGTCTGCAGCTTTACTGAGGTATCATTTACGTACCGCAAAATTCACCACCATAAGTACATGATTCTGTGATTAGTAAACTCACGCAGTGTGAGGCCATCACTACCATCCAGTTCTGGAACACTTCCATCACTCTGTGGTGTGATTTAAAAATTTGCTGTTTCTCCAACATCATCTGTACCCAGCGACCCCCATGCCAGCTCCAGAGTAATTCCAGAGTGACCCCCTGTTCTTTCCCATTGGCCTTTCTCTGTGTCCCAGAGGCACAGGGTTGACAGGTCTCAGCAAGCCCAGGGCTTCCTTCCTGAGCAGCAACCCAAGTGACCTTGCTAATCCTCCTGGGAACTGTGGGGTGAGTGGGCTCATATGTGGCCATCTCTGGGGTCTAAGACAAACCATACTCTGCCCATTTTCACCACTGCTTGGGCCTGGAGTAGCCCAAAGCTTCAATGGATTAAGGATGAGGCATAGATTCCATTTGTATGTAACCAGAGTTCCTTTTTAAAAAGTTACAGATTAAGTATGAAGCTGGTAGCAGAGGAAGATGAACACACAGAGAAGAAACAGAACCAATAGAAGGAGCTCCTGCTTTAGGGTGACACTTTTGCTTGTATTTATTCTGACACAGTAAAGATTTCTTGCCTGTTAAGAGACAAGGTCACACATCATATGGCCACCATGCCTGCGGCTAATGCTGTGCCTGCCAACTCTGACCATGCAATCACTCAGCGCTCACTGCCCAGCTTTGGAACCTTTGGAACCTGTCCCCAACACACAGCCCCAAGCAGAGCCATAAGACACAGCAGCCCCGCATTCACCAAACACTTTACCCAATATGGATCTGCGGCTGATTACAAAAACTGGAAAAATAGCAGAGAAGTTTAAAGCATGCATCGATTTATTTGATGAAAGGGCTAAAGGAAATGTCAAAGGTTAAAAGACAAAAGAACTCCACCCATGATAGTATTAGCAGCCAGCAGGGGTGGAAAGGAGAATCCTATAACCATCCTGCTTTTTAAAAAACAATCTCATCAGACAGTCCAATCTCACTAATTAGAGGAAGGTGCTGACGACAAGGGAAAGATAGTGGCTTTGGTGACTAAACACCCTTTGTAGAAATTACATGAAAAATAACGGTGTCTGTGCAGGGGAGAGGGAGAGAGAGACAAAATTTTCCTACACGCTCATAGTGGAGGCATCCCGGGAGTGCCACAATTTCGCCAACTGCATTCCAGAGCTCTTTTCCTCACATGCCCAGACAGAGCAAAGGCCTTTGTAATGACTTCATGCTTAGCCAAAAGTAAACACACTCTCTACTTTTTCCATGGACAAATTCTAACCCCAAATTGCCTCCAACAGCCTCTCAACAATCCAAATGGAAAGCCTCCTTTCACAAGAAAATAAAGCCTTTTTAACAGAATAATATATCTTGGCCGTAAAAGCAAACTTTCCTAAAAGCTTCCTAGAAATTATTTATCATGCAGCAATGCTACAGATCACCTGAGCAAACTGTACCAATGAAACAAATACACTTAATATAAATACAACAAATGATCCAGGAATAAATGCTCCAGCAAACACCTGTGCCTGCAACTTATGCAGCACATTTTGTAACACTCACAGGATTTGCTACTCAAAACACCCATGTGCACGCATGCGTACACACATATATACATACATACACACACACACACCCAGAGTTCACCGATGCCTAAGTGGAATATTCTCTCTAAAAACAGGCTGTGATAAGACAGGCACTGATTTGAATAAAGAGCAAAACAGCACACAGGATCTGAGCTCTACAGAGTTTTCATACATGTCAAACACACGTTGCACTTATCTGCCACGCTCCAGCTTGAATCCATGTGATCAATCTCAGTTTTCCATCAAGTAAGGAAAGCAGAGACTTGAGCATGGTGGACTTACCAGGTTGGAATTGGTGGCGTTGGAATCATCTTCTGGAAAGGGAATATAGATCGCTAAGGCCACACAATTGGCAAAAATAGTCAGTAAAATAATTATTTCAAATGGTCTGAGGAAGGGAGTTAAGGAAGCTAATGTCACAGAAAGCACGAGTGAAACAAACATACTTCTATACATTTTTAAATGAATCAAATATTCATAAGAATTTTGTTTAAAAAATACATTCCAAGCCCCTTGTATTCTGAAAAGAAACATATGCCTTTTAAGTGCTTCTAGTGAGTCCCCGCCAAAATTTTTCCTAATATGTCAAAAGCAGTGGAGGCCAGTCGCGTGCCAGAGTAAACACAGATTTCTAAAAACTTTTTTCCCCCTTATTTATTTAGATTGCATTTGACTTCATTTTCCCTCGTGTGTGCTCGGATTGCTTTTAAAGAGCAGTGCCTGCTCCAGGCACCCCATTCCCTCATGGCTTACCCACTGCCATCAGTGAACACGCTTGGGCAGGAGAGTGGGATTTTAGGACAAAGCAACTTTTCATGTTTTTCATTGAAATTTGGAGATTTTAAAAATCTTTTAAAGTGAAGAGAGTTTTTTTTTTTCCTTGTCCCTTACCCTCTGACAGCTTCCAGAGAACCTGAAGCCCAGCCAGGGGTCTGAGAACTCCAAAAGCATGGCAGGATGGTACTATGGGAATAGAGAGGGGCAGCTGGCTCCCCGTAAGGCTCAGTTTCACACAGAACTTGTAAAGCCTCTTCGCCTATGGAGGCCCTGCCTCTGGTGGGCCAGGCCTCCCTCCCACCTCCCAGGCCTCCTGACTTGCCCTTTGGGATGTGCTGGGCTGCAGAGGGATAACTCGAGGCTTACTCACCACTAGCAGCACACCCTGAGGCTCCCATGCCCTGATTTCTTTACCAGAATATCAGGGCAAAATACACTCTCAAGATGAAAAGTGAGCAATTGTGATAATATCCCTTCCAGTGAGACCCACCCCACACCCACAACTGAAGGCCAGAAAGGAGAACCTTCACAGGAAGGGCCCAATTTACGCTCCTCCTGCTCTGCTCTCACCCTCCCCACCACACTGCCAAGCTTCCAGCCTAGTTCATAGTCTAAACAGGAGGAAGAGAGGGATGGTAGTTCCTCGGTGAAGGGACCAACCTAAGTCTCCCAGGGTAACTGTACTCACAAAGTTAACACATTCTGAAGCAGGAAGAGACCTTAGAGATCTTCTAATCCAAACTCCTGAGGCCCAGAGAGCCTGAGAAACTTTCCTAAGGCCCCACAGCAGGTTAATGACCAGCCGGGACTAGAACCCAGATATTCCCACCACCAAGTCCAGTGTTCACTCCCCTCTGCAGATGGCCTTATGACGTGTGTTCACAGGAAACCCCAGGCCAGTGTTGCAGAATTCTGGAACTGGAAGGAATCTGCATCATTGTCTTAGTGACTTATCCCGTCAGCCCTGTCTCACAGAAGCTGTCGTTTCCTACGTGTACCTTGATATCAAAAAGATGGCATGCAGTGGACCTGTCCAACCTCCCAACTTTACAGTTATGGAAAGTAAAACAACCTGCCTAAGATCCAAAGTTGACAGACAGCAGAGCCAGGATCAGGACCAGGACCAGGACCCAGGCCGACTGACTAATCTTTTGCATCACGCTGCCCTTGAGCTGGCCAGGGAGCAAGTAGTGATGATGGAGCTGCCAATGCTGGTGCCAGTGCTGGTGATAGGAAGGACAGAGCTAACTTTACCAAGGGCTTACTCAGTGCCAGGCTCTGTTCTGACTGCTCTACACAAACACCCTGCATTGGAATGTGCAATATCGTCCCCACTTCTAATTGAGGAAACTGAGGCACAGAAAGGTTAGATGTTAACTTGTCCAAAGTCACACAGCTAGCGGTGGGATAAGAACCAAACCCAGGACATCCAGCTCCAGAGTCCAGGTTTCTAAGGCTTACGCTATACTGATCTGTCTTAACGACACCTAAAGCATTTTTAGGAAGTCAGTTCTTTTAGCCCTCCTACCACATCACCACTACCCTCCTAAACCTTTTCTTGTCTTTTCAGGAAAGTGATACTCAGCCCAGAGGCTGCTCAGTTTGGCTCCCATCATCTGGTGCCCTGTGCTCTCCCCACCAAGGCAAGGGCACAACAAATCAACTGAGGCAGACCGCAAATGTCAACTTGCTGCCTCCACCAAGGCGGGGTGACAGGTTAGCCTGGGGTGCTTCTTGTGTACTAGTTCCACCTCCTCCCCCACTCAGACTATCCATCCATCATCTTAAGCTAAAAGTATGGGGCTAATGACAGAGAACATAAAGTATAAAGATACCAATCAGGCAGATAAGAAAAGCCATCAGCAGAGGAGCAGAGGAGAACTAGGTGAGCCCTGGAAGCACTCTGTGTCACTCTGTGAAGACCAGATCATTTTTTAAACTGCCTTCTCTTCGTAATGACAGCTTCAGATTCCACTTTTTCAAGAAGAACTGATTGGCTAATACACCCATATATCTCCTTACCTGTCCAGTCACCCTTCCGAGGCAATCTAGGAATGTCACCCAACTAGTACCACTGAGGCTGGGTCCACTTCCTCTCCTCCAGGTGGGGAGGCACATTCCCCACAGGGAGCAGGGGGAGTGGTGACTATGGCAGCCATGGGGTGGGCGTTGAGGCCCCAAATCCAGGTCCGACTGTGTCCCAGTGAAGCTGGATTGTGTCCCCTGAACATCCACCCTCGTGCCTATCTAGTCTTACCTAGTACCACTTAGTACTACAGGGTCTGTGAGAAGTGTGTGGATTTTGGATTCAGGGGAACGTGGATTTGAAACCCAGCTCAATCAATTACCAGCTGTGTGATCTAGTGCAAGTTCTTTGGTTCTCTGGGCCTCACTGCCCTCCTCTCTGGGGTGCCTGACCTGCAGGGTCCCCCAGCTCTCCCGCTCCATTATTCTGCCATGAGCAGCTATGAAAGCAGCTTGATGTGGCTCACCAAAGACGAGCCTCTGACCCAGTCATCCGGGGAGTGAAACCATGCTTGGCCACTCAGGACAGGCTGGCCAGCTCCACAGCAGCCACTTCTTTGAAATGCATTCTCTTAAGTTACTTTTGATTTGAGTTGGAGCTCAAACATTTATAGAACTAACATTTCCTGATAAACAGAGACTTTCTTCGGGTCATCTTCTTTTACTTTGGACCACTACCCAAAACTCCAAATCTTTCCATAGAAACTCATTAACGAAACCTAATGCTCCCATCTGAACCCTGAGAGGCATGGTAGCCATGCCTGAGTGAATTCTGGTTATAAAAATGCTCGGCACTAAGCACCAGAGTTCTAGTCCCGTCTGTTACTGACCATATGACCCCAGAGAGTCTCTCCTGTGGGGCTTAACTTCATCATTGGTCAAAGTCAGGGTGGACCTAGAGATGTTTAAGGTCTTTTCCAAGCTCTATACCCCCATGATTCTTACGATGTTAAGGGGCTTGTAATTCCACAGGGAGAGTCCAACCCTTAAAAGCCATTTTGTCGGAAGGACCAGTCACTGGTTTCTATATGTATGAAGTGGATCTGTGCTTTAAACTCCAGACCAGTGTTCTCAACTTTGGCTGCACTTTAGAATCCCCTGGAGAGTTTTAAAAAAAAAAAAAAAAAAAAAAAAATGCCTGGGTGGAGCTCAGGTGCCTATAGTTTGTTAAAACTGCCCAGGTGATTCTAATGCGCAGCCAAGGCTAAGAACCACTGCTCCTAGGCCTGTGAGCCAAGAGCCAGGGTCACCAACCACTACCCTCTTGCCTCTCCTGGGCTCCATCACCCTAGACAGAGGTGAGGTCATGAAGCCATGTCAGTACCATGACAAAGGAAGGGAAGAAGGTTTTGAAACAGCATGAAATGACTATTAACCCAATCACAGGAGTGGATCCCTGGCAAGTTCAGCTACCTGAGATGATCTTTCACAGCTTCTTAGGCTCTTTTTCTCAAATGTTGCTTATTATATGAAGAGGGGGAAAAAAAAGAAGCAAACCCTGGGCGGCCTGTTTATAAGCAGATGCCTCAGCCCTGTCCCCAGAGATTCTGATTGACCAAGTCTAGAGCGGGGCCTAGAACTCTGCATCTTAACAGCACCCCAGTGATGCAGATGCGGTAGGTCTGAGAATAGTTTATAGGCTCAGCACTGGCAACACAGCCCACTGCCTGGTAAGCTTGGAGGGCTGGCCCCACATTTGGGTCCCAGGAGCACCCTGCCCGGCCTAGAGCACAAAGGATATTTCCATTCGACAATGCTTATGCACGCCCTCCGGATGGGGTTCTTCAGGGTCAAGCAGAGCAGAGCACGGGGCGGGCGTGTGGCAGTTGCGCTGCCCTGCTTCTTGGGTTTCCCATACTGCTGCCGCTTCCGCTGCGTGGAGCTGACTGTGGAGATGGTCGCATTGCCAGCACTGCCCATCAGCTTGGCCTGCCGTGCCGCATCAATGGCTGCCTGCCAGGACAGGGCTGCCCCCGGAGTGGGGATGTGCTCGGGGGCAAGCCCCGCGGCCGCGTTGGCATTCATGTTGGCATGAGCTGGCCGCGGGCTCCCATAGTTGGAACCTGCAGCAAGAGAGGAAAGAGCACAACCATTACTGGAGAGAAAATAGGAGCACTTGTGACACGCTTTGGATCCCAGACTCACAATTTTTAAAAAAAATCTTATTTCAGGCTATCGCAGGAGAGTGGGAGGTGGCATGTAGAAACGCTACTGTGAGATGCTGAGGAGAGAAAGCCAGGAAATCTAGTCCTAGTTCGGCCTAGTTCAACGGGTGACCTTGGCCATGTCACTCCCCTCTCGAGTCTCGCTGCCTCATCTAAGGCAGGTAAGAGATGAGGCACGTGCACCACAGCATGAACAGGCCTTAGCAGCACAGTGCTGGTGAGGAGAGGAGGATGCAGGAAAAGATAAAACACAATGCCACGTCTGTAAACGAAAACATATATTTACAAGAACACACACAAATAGGATGTTCATTAAAGAGAACAGAATGGTTGTTTAAGAGGCGTGAGGAGGAAAATGAGTGGAGGATATGGGGATAAGGAGGAAGAATGAATGAGTGAGTGAATATGAGCAGTCACTGCATGCATCAATGGTGACAGGTACAACGAGCTGAAGGTGATGATTCACTCACCTCTTGGCACTTGAGTTCCAAAAAGCAAAAATAAATACAATAAAATGAGAAAGTTGGACCAAAGTAAGGTCACATCCAGGCACCTCAGACCCATCTGGGCACTGAGTCTTGGTTGAACAGGAGTGGGTAGGGGGGCTCTGATGGTTTTAAGTCATGTCAGCAAATTCTTTGATGTCTGACATCCTGCTCATGGAGAAAGAAGATCTAGGCCCTCCTCTTGAAATGAGGTTAGCCTTTGGTGACTGTTTTGACCAATAAAATACAGCAGAAGTGACACCCTGTGACTTCCAAGGCTAGGACAAAAAAGGCAGTGCTGCATCCTCCTGAGCCCTCAGGATGGCCGCTCTGGAGGAAGCCCCCAGGGGAGGCAGCCCCACAGTCCTGGGCCACCATGCTGTGGGGAAGCGCAAACCAGCCTCCACGAAGAGACCACATGGAGAGAGATTCCTGGCCAGTCCCCAGCCGCTACAGTCACCTGACTGCCACCTCATGGGAGACCCCTAGCCACAATGCCCCAAATCAGGAAGTTCCTGAATTCCTGACACCCAGAAACAATGAGGGAGAACAAGGTGTTTGCTGTTGTGAGCCATTTGCTTTGGTATCTGGGAAAAAGGAACTGTGTGTAGCAAGGGTTGGCAGGGTAGGAGTAGAGGGACACTGTCATGAAGGAAGCCTGGGTAGGAACCAGGGAAATCCAGAGGGGCCAACCTGAGTAGGGAAGCTGCACTGCTCTGGTTTAAAGGCATCAAAGATTCAAGACTATCCCTGAGATACCACTATTCGCTTGGCAGACACTCTGTGGTTGTTAGGCTGGATGTCTCGTCCTAGCACCCGAAGGTTTGCCAAGTGATCAGCTCAGCCTGGGCCCACACCTGAATCTTCCAGAACAGATGTATGACCTGGAGACTTGGTACTGCTAGTCAACTGGCCAGGTACAGCAGGATCAAGAAAATCCACAGAGAACAGGGTGTTACTATGGGCAGTGGGCCTGACCTCTGGATGCCACTTCGGTTGCTTGGCAGACTGTTGCCGAAGCAGCCAGACCAGCTGCACGTACGTCACTTCTGAGTCCACCCACGATGACCTTTCTCTGATCAGTGTACACAAGGTCCTTCCAGGGAAGCTGCTGGGCCCAGAACCAACTGCCTTGTGGAGCCCCATCCCTCTCCTCACCTGTGACTCACTAGGATATAGATGAACACCTGCTGCCTCTGCCAGCCACCTTCCCAGCTCTTATCTTGGGCTGTCCTATGTTTCACCTCCAAGATAACTTTGTTCCCAATGGGAACTGCTTTCTAGAACCTATCACCCCCACCACCACCCCTTTCCCCCACAGAAACCTGTTGAGAACACATGAGCCACCTTAGGCAGGCAGAACATTCTCACCTGGAGGGAGCCTGTCCCAGAGACAGAACCCCAACGATCTCATGGGATTCCTGCATCCAGCCATGCCTGAAGTCAGCCCCACCCTGAGCCACAGGCAAGGAAGATGGGGAGGCCTCTCAGGGCTGGCCTCCACTAGGGCTGTATGAGAGAACTTCAAAAAGTTCATGGAAAGATTCTTATCTTTCAATTCTATTTTCCACGAACTTTTTGAAGTACCCTTGTACTTCAAGGCCCTGCTTAGCCTCCCTTCTCCAAGTAACCTTCCCCATCGACTATGATGACTGAGTTACTGAAGTAACTTAGCTTAATCTAATATGAATTGGGTCTCTGTCCCTTGCAACCATCAAAGATGCTTGCTCAGCGGCCAAAGCTTGTACCTGGCTGGGCTGTCATTTCTGGCAGATTTCAAAGTCTATATCCTTTCCATCACATCAGTGACAGCAAATTTCAACTCTTAAGCCAACTGACTGACATCACTGTCCAGAATGCTATACTTAAAGGATTCTGAGACTTTTCTGAGTACAGGAGGAAAGCATATCATGATAGATTAGTGATGTCTGCCACGAGACAAAGGGTAGGGAATGCTATCACAGACGCCATGCGTGTACCACCCCTGAGTGATACCAACATGAGCACAGCTACTCAGCCGCCTCTGGTGCCAAGGCAGTACTGTGGCTCCTGTACTGTGGCTTTCTGGTCCCTGTGGCACTGGAGCCCCAGGGCCTGAAAAGTTGCCCCCTTGCTAGACCCAGTTCAAGACTACAGAGAAAAAACTAAAAGAATGGATTTGAATTTATTAAAGCACCTGAAGCACAAGAACTACTTTAATAACCAGCAAACACGAGTATCTCCATTTAACACATAAGAAAACAAAGGAGCGTATGACTCATTAAAGGTCACACAGTGAGACAATGGAAGATTTCTGCAGCACGCACAGGACTCACAGTTAACTAGACTAGATGCCTGCCCCTCAGCTCTCTCTCTCACACACAGAGCATGCACCTCCTACCAGGTTTCATGGGCCTTGAGATGGAAGGGCTGTATTTCTGATCCCAAGAACATCCTTTATATTTAATATGATCTTCATGTGACAACATCCACGACACTAACAGCCCAGTAGTAACCCTCAGGGCACCCCTGGGGTGAATGAAAGTGGAAGGTGTCCCTGTTTCTATTTGCTGCACCGCAGCAGCCAAGTCCAAGCGCCTAACCTCCTGTCTTTCTTGGTCCACCAGAGAGGGCTGGAACTCTAACTGTGCTCCGTTCAATCTGTGGTTTATAATTTTTTCTTCCTAGATGCTCTGTTTGGCATTGACAAAATTTAATAGATTCTATTTCAGTTCCTGGACTAACTCACCCTCCACGCACATGAAAGCACCATGTTCCCCTGCTGTTGGCCTGCCCAGACCCAGCTCTACTCATGACAAGCCCTCTACATCCCATAGCGCCCCAAGGTCACCATCTTCCAACGCAAATCTTTGTCCTCACCCCCTGCAATGTGCTCACTCCCCCTCTCTCACATCAGCTGCCAGTTCCAAAAACCAAGCAGTCCCAGGAGTTTCTGGACAACACTTGGGAAGAGGGCAGAAAGCACCAGGCCTGAGAACACACCCATTGCACAGGAAGGCTGAGTGAGGGTGTCCCATGCACCCCAAGCATGAGCAGAGGCTTCCAAAGAGCAAGATAGCAGCCACCTCCACAGCCAAGGGGTAGTTCTGAAAACCAGTCTTGGTAGTCTGACTTCTGAGCCCCCACTCCATGGGGAGCCTTATTTATATTGTGAGCCGTTCCCAGAGCATGAGGACCTCTCTGGAGGACACCATCTGGAGAAAGCACATACAAATAGGCCCATAGGGAAAAATGGAATGTCAACCTCTCCCTACCCAGAGGACAAGAAAACAACCTTCAGTATTTTGGTCCTGGCAGCTCTGAGCATGGGTACAGCCCTGTGACATAACTAAAGGCACTGACACCATATAAACAGAGCCATATGCAGGGGGGACAGGTGTGGCCTCCCAGGGCTGGCCTCCACTGGGGCTGTACTTCAAGGCCTATTTAGCCTCACTGTTTTCAAGTAACTATCCGCCACCCGCTGTGATGATTCCCCACCCAGACCTCAGGTTCTGTGAGTACCTGTAGGTCACCCACAACAAGCTGGCACAACTATCCAATAATCCCAGGAATGGAAAACCCTCATCTCTGACTCAATGTTTTTGAATCCAAAGTAGTGCCATGAAGGTAGGGCAGGCAGCATTGTGCCCCTGATGGCTTTTGTTAGCACAAAATAACCATCCAATGCAAAGAAAACAATTTTCAAATTATGAAGCTGATTCAAAGCTGTCTCCTGGCTGCCAGCTGAAAAGATGCCACCGTGTAAGTTTGCTCTGGCTCCTGGACTTACCAGGCTATTTCCATTGGTGCTGTCATCCCTGAAGGTGCCCCAGAGCAGCAGCTTAGCAGATCAGGCCAAACACCAACAGGTAGGTGCCCCACAGCAGGGCTCTCTTCCCCGGACATAAGAAAATGACTCCCATTTGTCAAATGGCCCCGCTCCCCTGGAGATAGCAGCAACTCTCTCTTCCTGCACACAGGTGCTGCTGCTCAGATGGATAAGGATGAGGACAAGACCCCAGCACAGACTGGTCAGCTTCATGTCACGCTGCTTAGCAAGGGTCCAAGTGAGGAGTCCAAGTCAGGAGACAGTGGCTCATGCTTCCCTGTGAGTGAGGCTTGGCACTGGGGACATGAAAGGTGTTCAGTGACAAAACAATTGATTCTTTTTTTTCTTTAATCCATCTCCACTCATGTACCTGATCCAGGTCTGAGGGCCATATCCATGAAAATGCTCAACATCTATATGCTAAAGACTGTAACAGTAATGATGTCATGCTAATGATGAAGGTGGACTACTACAGTGTTCTTTGGAAAGAACATTGTTTTAGTCAGTCCATCTATGCCCTAAAGAATGGGCTTCTTCTCAAGCCAGCAGGCTCTTCCTCTTACTTCTTGGGTGTGATAGAGGGGCAGAAGTTTTGAGGAGAG